CCATCGGGTAAAAGGAGCCTTATAGTATGTAACTTTGATAAGGTCCGATATTGCGTTTCGTCGTGAACAAGATTTGTCAATTCATGCACGATCCTACTTCGGATAATTTGTTGGCAATGAAACACATATTATGTTACCTTAAGCAAACTACAAGACATGGGCTTCACATTAGATATTCATATACACACCTTATCGGCTTATCCGACTCATATTGAGCCGGATCCTTAAATGATAGAAAATTCACAAGTGGGTATGCCGTTTACCTTAGGCAAAACCTTATAGCTTAGAAATCATCTAAGTAGAAGAAAATGGCCCGCAGTTCTACCGAAACGGAATACAAAGCAATAGCTAATCTACTATCAAAATTATTTGGGTCACTTCCTTATTGATCGAATTGGGGGTTTCCTTCCTTACAAAGCCCATTGCCTAGTGTGACAATTTAGGAGCAACATATTTAGCAACCAATCCGAGTGTTTCATGCATGTATAAAACATGTTGAAATAGATTTCCATTTTGCCAAAAATATGGTAGGGGGCTTACAAGTGAAGTTATTTCCACTCAAGATCGGATTGCGGACATTTTAACAAAACCATTGTCTAGTACATGATTTTTTTTTCTTATGGGACAAACTAATACTAGGCGAACGCTCACGATCGGTTTCTAGGGGAGTGTTAGGACAAATTTCAACTTCGGATAATATTTCACCAAACTCTTATAATATTAGTTAACATTATCTCGCTAGGATACAATTTCTCTACTTCTATCATTTTGTTGTATCTATTTTACCTATATATAGAGTCTTGTAATATGTACACTTGTAACCTTATAAAGGATAGTTAAAATCTTAATAGAAATACAATTAAAGGATTCAATTCCTAACTCTCTTCTAATTTAACTGTGGACAAAAATTATTTAAAGAATCCTTGGTTATTATTTTAATTATTTTACTTGGCTATTAATTCATAGAACATGAACCAAATGCCCAACATATTACATTCTGAAGTTGAAGAATATTAGAAAGATCTTGATTAGATATACCAACCATAACTAGCAATATTGAAACCAAACTACCTAAAAGCATTACACAAAATTATTAGGAGACAAGTTTGGTTAATCCTATGGCATTTAAATTATGAAAATTAGGTTCTTCAAACTTTTTTTTTACTATAAATTAAGAAAAGATTTCAATTCGAGAGATAATAGATCCGGAAGGAGAAGAAATAATGCTAATGTTAGTTGAGTTCCACTCATTAGCAAGTTTTTAAAGTCTTTTGTATGCTTAGACATTGCTCGACAATTATAGCATGCTATATTTAAAGGTTATATTACATTTGTACGTGTGAATGAACACATTCCATATATAATAAATAATTAAAAAAATATAAAAATATAAAGTTAATACTGGATCATCCATACTTAAATATTTTGAACGAAATCTAGATTTCAATTTTTAAGTATAATTTTTTTATACAATTTATAACAAAACAAGAAATGAATCATCACATAAATCGGAATTTACAAATGAGCTTATATGTATATATAACTCCTCATTTTGATGAAATCACATTCTTTTGCCAAAAGTCAAAAAATAAAAAAATAAAAAAATTCCAAATGACGTACGTTAAATGAATTTTGCATATATTGGTCAAAAAAATTTTAACTGAAAAAAAAAGTAAAGTGAAAAATCTTTCAACTAATTAAAAAGAATTTATATGTCGTTTAGTTACGAGAAATGAAAGAATGGAATTTAAAAAATTAAAATAACATTTGTATTTTCATATTGTATTTGAAATAATAATAAAAAATTTAAATTTAAATTTTTTAATATCTAATTTTTAATACGAATAAAAATAATGATTAAAAAAATAATTTCATCAATTATAATGATAGTAAAAATAATAGAGTTGATTGTGATAGTAATAATGGTGGACTAGGTGGTAGTAATAACAGTATAATAATAATAATAATAATATATTTTTTAAAACATTGATACCACCACCATAGAAGGTGACAATAAAAGAAGAATGGTGATTGTTTAATAAAACTAATGATGGTGGTGGAGAAAAAACGATGACAGAATAATAATAATAATAATAATTTATTATTTTTTAATTTTTTTATCACCACCATCAATGGAGTAGTGTTAGTGGTAGCAATGGTAAAATGAAAATGATAATGATAACCGATGAGGAATAGTTATGGAATAATAATAATAGTTTTTTTTAAAAAAAATTATTTTGTCACTATCACTAATAGGGTTGTTGGTGGTGGTGGTGGTGACAATAGAGGTAGTGATGGTGATAATAGTAGAAATAGTTGATATATAATAAATAAAAATAATATATTATTATTTTGAAGAAAAAATTATATAATCATTTCTTATTTTTATTGCCACCTCCCTCTATGAAAAATGAAATTAGGTTTAACTTTCATTTATCTTTCTATTTCCTCTTCATTCTTTTCATTCAAACACTTATAAAATAAAAATAAAATTTACATTTCCTATTCTTACAATTCCAGAATTGTAATTGCACTTTATAGACAGTTTTTTTTCCCTCTTTATGTAATATTAAACACTTGTGAGAAACAAAAAAAGAGAAAAGAAAGAAAAAATAAAAAAAGAAAAAGAAAAGAAGAAGGCCTCTATCTCTCCAATTTCCATCACAAACATACAACTCCTCTAATGAAACTTTCCTTGGGGAAATTATTAATAATGCAGGTTGATTGAGTAGATAGAAATCTGCAGGGTAGATATCAAGTTATTCACACTTAGGGTTGATGGGTATAAAATTCTTAAGATAATAAATGGAATAAAGAGCATATATATATATATATATATATATATAATCAGCTTTGCACTGGTTGGTCCAATTTTTATATGCTATAGTGACAAAGAGACGGCGCTACATTAGGGCGGATGACGGCTTCAGCCCCTAAAAGTTTTCAACTTAATTAGTCCTTGTCGTCTTCAATGCTTTTAAATATATCCTTACGAGTTATAAACTGGCCCCTTCAAAATATTTGTATAAAAGATGAGTTTATTATAGTAAATAAGAATTTTTTTATTGATATTAAATAGTTTGTCATGTGATCTAGCATATTTGTTTACCTGTTTCTATTAGGAAGCTTTTATTTTTCATTTAAAAAATAACAATGTGTATTAAATTGAAAAATATTAGCTGCCAATATTTTAAGTTGAAGGTTATAAAAAGCTTCAGTTGCACTTTTTTTAATATATATATATATATATATATATATATATATGAGTTTGTCCAATTTCATATGCTGTAATAATTGGCTCTTTTTTGGTTAAAAAGGAAATATAAGAAAATTGAATCGTTGTGCACAAATATAGAATCGGATTTTTTTTTATTATTATTTTGTTGAGGATGATGCAGGGTGATTCTTAAAAGAAATAAAAAAGAGAATAATAATACAAACTTATTGTGTTTATATATATATATATTGGATTTATAAGTTATTTTAAGCTTAAAGGTTCAAACTAATTTTTCGTTGCTCAATGGAATGCATTAGACAAGTACAATTATCCAAAGAATTTTTTGTATACATAAGTACTCAAACTCTAAACTACTTTTTTAAACGTTAAGAACTTCTTTCACTCAAACTAATCCTTTTGGGTGGAAGAAGTTTGAGTGGAGGAAGAACTATTTAAAGTCTCTTTAGTTTGGACAAACTAATGCATGATGATAATTTAATGAAGTTATGAAAAATAAAGGAAAAAAAAAACAATCAAACAACTTAAAAATTAATTATTCAATATATATATATATATATATATATATATATATTTGAGAGAGAGAGAGAGAGGCTTTTTTGGTATGTGGTCGATCTTCTCCTTAGACGAAGAAGCAATTTTTTTTTTTTATAAATTTTTTTATCGACCAACTATTTGTTCTACAAATGGTCATTAAATTGAATCTTATGTGTTTTTTTCTTCTAGATTTACTTATAATTGGACTTTATATACATTTGGCTAAACGATATAATATTAAATTTGTCTACGCAACTAAAGGGGTTTAGAACTTTTAAAAAATAATTTTTAACTAATAGAGAGTATTAAAAAATTACATTTGATAAGTAAAAAAAATTCCACAAGCATGATATGAAAAAAAATTATTAGAAATTATTGGATTGATTTTGCAACCTTGACATAATAAATTTCTTGATCAACCTCGCTTTTTTTATGCCCAACCTTTATTATTATTTCTATTTCAATGCTTTTTTCTTTTTTCTTTTTCTTTTTCTTTTTCTTTCTTTTTTTTTTTTTTTGCATAGAATCACTTTAGAGCATTAGGTGCTTACGCGTCTAGAGTTGGCTACCACATGATAGTTTTCACATGATACGTTAGCAAAATTAAACTTCAACTTCATGTGAAATTAGGCACCAAAATAATAATAATAATAATAATCAAAGATTAGGTAGCAAATTGTTAGAAATCAATGGTTGAACATCCATGAGTGTGATGAAATAAATCCATGTGGTCTATTAGTCCTTGATTCAAGAAGTGCAAATCTTTTCATATCTTTTATTTTTTTTTAATTTTGAAATGATTTATTGATTTAAATTCTATTTTATTGATCTAACTTAGAAAAAAGGACAATTAAAATCCAAAAAACAAAATGGAGAGCACCAAATCTTTTCAGTAAACGAAGACTTCAAACTTCACATATATTAGTGTGTGAGAGAGAATCATATCTGAAGCAGAACATACAAAATCTGTCATGCAACTTGGAGTAGAAAATGCATATTGGTAGAATAATTTTTGGCTTTTAAAACAGAAGTGTACTGTGTGACTTCCTCACAGCTGAACCATAGCCACAAACTTATTGTTCTTTCAAATTATTGGTCTCTCATGTTTTTGTTTGTCTCTTTTTTGGGTTCACCTGAGCTTTAATTTCTCAGGTTGAAAGGCCCTCTTGATTCAATAGTATTGTAAGTCTCTAGATCTTGTGTTACTGTAGGAAGTTTGTGTGAGAGGATGGCATTAGAAGCTGTTGTATTCCAACAAGATCCCTTCAGTACTCTAGGATTAGGTGCAACATGGATCCATGGCTTTGGTACTCTTGAAGGAGAAAAGGCTAATTACCATGAAACCCTAAACACAGCAATCGGTATTGGATCTGATTTCCATTCAAATGATAACTGGAACACCAATAACTCTTCCTCCCAAGAGAATGACTGTGCCTGTAACGGCAGGTTCTTCACCGGAGGTAATGCTGCTGCAGGCCGGCAAAAGAGACGGCGTCGTAGAAGCATCAAAGATGCGGCAGAAGTTGCACATCAAAGGATGACTCACATTAATGTTGAACGCAATCGGAGGAAGCAAATGAATGACTATCTTGCTGCTATTCGATCAATGATTCCTCCCTCTTATGTTCAAAGGGTAATATGGCCTTCTTTTTTTCCCTACTTTTCTTATTAAAAAGATTCAATCGTAGTTCAAAAAGAAGAAAAAAATATTAAGAGACATTCTGATCCACTTCACTTTGTCGGATAAACTCTTAAAACATAAAACTGCTGCACATGGGACCTCGTTTTAGGTTAAAACTTGTACTTTGCATTCACATACATGACCTTCTAGGGAATTGTTTACAAAGCCACTAAAACCTATTATGAGAAACACTTTCTCAATCAATCTCAGCAGTGAGACACAATTAAGCTTCAAGTGGTGCAGTATTATATTGGCCTTTCCGTCAAGGCTTGGTGGGTTTTCTTCCTGAAAAGCTGTTTCTCGGGATATTGGCATCATCTTCAACCTTTTGAGGTTATTATCTCTTCATGTTATTTCATGGAGTATATATAATTGATTTTTTTTATTACTGCAGGCAGATCAAGCATCAATCGTAGGGGGAGCCATTAACTTTGTGAAGGAGCTAGAGAAACTTCTTCAATCTCTTGAAGCCCATAAGCAAATCAAGAAAGTACCATCTGCTACAGACTCCGATTTATCTTCTCCCTTTTCGGATTTTTTCTCCTTCCCTCAGTATTCAACTGCCAGTTCGAGGAATAAACACAGCAACAACTCATCATCAAGCACTGAATCAATATTACCTGACCAGAAGCGATCAATAGCCATTGCAGATGTTGAAGTAACAATGATAGAAAGTCATGTAAACCTGAAAATACAATCAAGAAAACAGCCAAAACAGCTATTGAAGATGGTGGCTGGATTGCACTCTCTTGGCCTTTATATTCTTCACCTAAATCTCACAACTGTTGATCAGACGGTGCTCTTTTCTTTTAATGTTAAGGTTGGTACTAATCTTTTTTTTTTTCCTTGATACTTAAATTGATGTCTGATTTTACCTGATAACCAGATTTAAAGGAAGTTTTACTCTTTAATCTCTAATGTTATGAGTGCATTCGATCCAAATGAAGTTAAGAATTATGCTAAATGATCTTTTTGGCTGAATTAATTTGCATAGAATAAATTTCTTTTCTCTTGGATAGATTAAAAGTTCATGTACTAATAATATATTGAAGCTTGTGTTTGATTTTGAGGCAGGTTGAAGATGAGTGTCGATTGACTTCAGTTGATGAGATTGCAGAAGCTGTGCATGAGATGGTGGGTAGGATCCAAGAGGATGCTACTTCTAATTGCATGTCTAGCATTGAATAGACTGAGATTTTTTACCTCTATCAATATGATCTTAAATCAATAATGAATTCTCTATTAATTGGTTGCCTAAACCTAAAAGGGGCAAATGATCATGTGTAATGTTGTTTTCCACTTTACCTGTTGCGGCAAGTTGGTGGAACTTAGCTTGTAGGTCTTTACCTATTTTGGGACGTTATGTTCTCTAGGAACTTTGTGTACTACAAGAAATGATTCAGACGAGGATCTACTTATTTTGATTGAACATCTTTGGAAAGCAAAATTAATTCGCAGAGGTTGCTACAATATCTGTGTTCTATTCACAGACACAATGCCTATACTCTCTAAATCACCAGTTCTGCTTTGGTATTCAACTCCGGTGGCCAGATTGGCGCAGGCATTCTGTTTGTGCCCAGAAAACAAGCATCTAGACTTATCCTTAATTTAAATGCCATACAAGATCATTAGCTCTAGATGTCTATAAGTTGAACAGTGGAAGCCTTTGTTTTTGTTGGGTCGGGTGGCATGGGCCATGGGGTGGGGGTGATTGCTTAAAAACAGAATACAAACAAGAAGAAAAAGTAGTAGACATTTAAAGTGAAAACAGAAAAAAAAAACCCTGGTCCAAGGATGCATCATTATTGGTCTCAGACTCTGCCCAAAAGTTGTAATGATAATACACCTTGCTTTCTCCCATATTTTTGAGTGTTCCTGTCCAGCTTTTTTGTTACGAAACTGGGATGGTTCTCTTTTTCCTTTTACAGATGTGATTTCAGATTCGAGTTCCATCTGCCACATTGGACAAAAGTTGGAGATCCTTAGATTCAGAAAGCAGTATGTAGATATATGAATGAATTATTCAATTTCTCTTTGTGGCTAAAGAGACATAATTATTAGTATAGTTCAGTAATTGAAGGACCTTAGGCTGGAAACTTGAGAATTGATGATCTAAATTCAACTTTCTCCATCTCTACAAAGTTCAAACGAAAAATCATTACACAACAGCAAGTCTTATTTCTGATATTGTGTATTAATTTGTCGATTTTCTGCAGTAATGCATTGTACTCTCCCTTTCTCCTCGCTGGCTATATATTTTGCCTCTTTATACCTTTCTAAATATAATACTGCTAACTTTGGCTTATAAAAAATGCTCTCTATATAATTAATGTGACAAATATATTTATTTTTCTCTATATTAACAAGGTTTAATTGATCATTTGGCACCTTCTACAGTCCTTCAACTAAGCCCCCCTCCAACTAGTGATATATATACGTACTGTCTTCAACTGGTATATGTATATCTACTTGCTGGGTCCAAATATCCTTTCAGGGCTTGGAAATGCTAAGGAAAAGGTTTACATGTTGCAATTGATTCTGACCAATGATAAATCTTTCTACAGTTCACAGATGGAATTTATTTAGCTTGGCAGATATGCAAATTTTAAAGCGAAACTTAAACTTTTCCGAGTATACTTTACGTGTACTGTCTTTTAATTAATTATGTTATTTTCTTAATTTGTTACTTTTTTTCTCTTCTGAGATATGGAGTACTAAAAGGAATTTATACCAATTGCACAAATGAATATTACCAAATATATACATGATTTAGTCGCAGCATTCATCATCACAATAGTTAATATATAGTCTATGTGAAAGTACGTACAAGATTCGACACAACCTGAAAAGCCAAAATCAAAAGAGATTCGAATTTTTACAAGAAGAAAAAACAAGCAGAAAGGAAAACTATATAGTAGTGAAGACAAGCTATGAATTAATTTATGAGTGGTGAAGTACCACGAGACAGAACTGCCATGTCCACAAATGGACTATAGGGTTTGAACTAGACTTTCTGAATTTCAATTTCTTAAGAAACGAATTGAGAAAAAAAAATTAGAATAAAAAGAGAATAATAAACTGTCAATTATATCTACATCATTTTTCATTACTTAACAATCTTTTACTTGAAGATTGATCTTTAAATAACATCAAATCTCATATAGTTGTCATTTTCTTCAATCAACTTCAAATCTTCTTATTAGTGTAACGCTTTCTCATCATTAATTATGAATATCAATTGGGATAATGTAAAACCTTAGCCTATCAATTATAATTATATCTTAGTCAACATATCAACTAGATTTTCTAATTAATTATAAAATCTTGTTCAAACATATTATCTTATCATCCAATAATTCACGAATATAATGATATTTTAACTTAATATGTTTGGTTTTAGCATAAAAGATTCAATTTTTAACAACCTTGTACTCTGACTACCGACTACTCTGTACTAGTCTCTATAATTGAACACAATTTTCATGTATGTAGATATATCTGCACAAAATTAAGATTAAAGAATACTATAGATATCTGCACAATTTTCAGGTAGGTGTAAATCTTGCTTCTTGAATTATATGCTACTCTTTATTTATATTTCATTCTTGGACTATTCAGGTTGTTCATGTCTAAATAAACAATGGGTGGTTTAGCAATCAATTGGCTGCTTTGTATAGTTTCTAATTACATGAAAAAAGTAATGATAATGAAATAAAATAAAATCCTTGTCGTTTCGACCAAAAAAAGGGAGAAAATTAATTAATTAGGAGCAAAGAGCCAAATTCATAAATAAATAAATAAAAGAAGAGAATTCATCATCTGTTCAAAACTGAGACTGTTATTGTGGTGTCGAGTCAAGATCAAACTACCTGAACGGCTAAAAAAAAAATGTGTAAAATTAATATTATACTTATAGTTCTAACCAATAAAGTGGCAAAAGCTTGGCTAGCCCTACCCTGATCTCAACTTGTGACCGTACTGTTCTTAGTCTTTGGAAGACAATTCATTGTGATATCAATTTGAAGAAAAGCTAATTACAAGGGAAGTTTTAAAAGGCTACTAGCTAGGTATCTCACGGTCCCTTCAGAAAGGATCATAACCAATGATCCATGTCTTTAGAATTGTAGCAATATATAAGAGAAATGTATTCTCTATAAAATAAAGGACAACTTTCGCATTATTTATTTATTATTTACTAGTTTTCTTCTCATGTGTGTAAATTATTTTAATTTTACTAAAAAGAATAAATTTGAATATTTGTTGAATCAAAATTAAATGTTTTATATTGGAAATTAAAAGGTTTTTTTTTTTAAATGTTTGTAGAGTTTGTCAAAATGGACAATAAAAAATTTATGAATCCTTTCATTCAAATGAATTTCTACATATGAAAAAAATAATAACTAATAATCTCATTTAGTAATTTATGAATTTTAATGGAATCCTCTCTCTCTCTCTCTCTCTCTCTCTCTCTCTCTAGGTTTCCAAGTGTAGAGCTTTTTCTCCTGCTGAAGTTTCCCACCATTCTTTAGGATTTCTTTTGTTCGCTGATTCAGATTCTTCTGTTATTTGATTTGTCTTAATTTTTATGTCCTCTAATGGTCTTCCTTCACCACCAGCACTAGAAGATCCAGATCTGGAGGAGGAGGGAGAGATTGTCTTTTTTGACGAAGATGATATTGCCAGTGGCCTTGAAGCTTGCAGATTGAGCTTAACTGGTAAGCCGATCAATAAATTAGTGCTTAAAAAAGTTATTGTTAAGTTTCACATCTGAATAGAGAATTGCGTATCCATTAAAATTAAATAACAAATTTAAGATGTTTATACATAAGATGGATTTAGGATTTTATTAGCCTAGATTTTTAAATTAAAATAGCATCCATTCTTTTATATAGGTTTTCATATGTGCAGGCCGAAATGACTTTCCAAGTGCAGAACTCTCCAACAATTGGTAGCGAAGCTGATGGTTTGGCTTGGAACGAATGGCGATTGTACTTATGCTCTTGTGGCTTTGTCGGATTTTTCATGGTTGAGTTAATTAAAGAGCTAAATTCTAAATTCTGAATATTGCACTTAAATTGTTAAATATAAAGGAAAAATAGTGTTGGTTGTGAAAAAAAAGACTCACGTTTGAGAAAAAGATTTATTGAGTTCTCCATATCAGTTAAGAATAAGATAAGCTTAAAGTATTTATATATAAGAAAAACTTATGATCCACTAATCTAAATTTTTTGGATTAAAATAATGTTCATGTTTACATGCAAGTCATTCACATGTGCAAAAGTACGGGGATCGCTACTTCCATTTGTTTTTTTTTTTTTTTTTTTGTGACAATAAATGCAATGTATCATTGGACATGATGACCGAAAATGTACTACAAAATTCCAACAGGAACATGCTGGAATTCTCAAAAACAATCCATTTAGTACAAAGTTGTAGGCTGAGCAAATTGGATGGATTTTGGAGACAAAACCCTCTATAGCCAAGTCTGGTGCTAGTGAAAGTAGTAGTTGAAAAAAAGACATAAATGCCAAGGCTTCTGTTCCAGAAAAGTCAGGGAATACTACTCAAAATCTTTCTTCATTGTCTGTCTCATATCAGAGAAGACAAGCAGTTTCAAAGATGACCATAATTGTTGGAATCAAGGGATTGGCTGTTAAGAAGAACACGATTTCAGGAGCAGTCACTCAAGGTCCATGAATTATAAATCAGGGGCCATTAATGGGTTTTGATAACAGTACGAATTTGACTAGAGCTATTTTTCAATGCGGCTTTGGAGGAATCCTTGCCTTTTTCGGATCAAAATCTCAATCAGACGGGATTGGTGGAATTAAATCATAATGACTTAATAGTTGTTCAAAAAGCCTGTGATGCTGAACCAGCCTTTTCTTTTCTTTTTCTTTTTTTTTTTTCCTTCTTTTAAAGCTGCTGAGCTTGGGCCAAATATCAGGGAACTCAGCCCACTTCCGACCAAGGCCCAATTTTTTGTTTTGGGTCAACTACAAAAAAAGGACAAAGGATTAAGGAGTTGTCCCGGGATGGCAAGAGGAAGTTAACGGGAGTTTCAACTACTGAAATGACGGAGGTGGCAGGCCCAAAGTGGGCCCATCTTGATCAATAAAGGTAATGCGCTGGGATTGCTAGGGTTTGGGCTCTGGGGAACCCTCTGCAGTTCAAAATTATGAAGGGATTTTAAAACTCCATTCCGCAAATTTGGTTTTCCTCATGGAAAAAAAATATAATTTAGAAGTAGTTTCGACTTTCTTACGTTGTTGATCCTGACGGTGTGATGGGTACAGCTGGTGGTTTAGCAATTGGATGGTCAGATTATCTAGATATTGAAATGGTCAGCCATGATTGATTTTTCAATGGTTGCAAGATGAATGATCAAGCATCAAGCAAACAGAGTTAAACCTAGGCAGGCGGACTCGTATGTCTCGATTTTCTAATTAAGCCAAAATTTACAAGCGAATCTTTTTACTTTTATAAATCATTTGTTAATAAAAGAAAATCGGCTCACAACGGTCTTACAAAATCATTTAATACGAATTTATACAATTTCAAAATTAACAAATCACATAATAATTTATGAACAGTAATGTTAACAATCAATTTCAATTCAGTTACATAAACAATCGCAAAATCATCATCAGACTGAAATTAACTCTTATTTTGAATAATTCATGAAATTAAATCTCAATTTTATCATTCCAACTGCATCGTGAAATATTAAATCCTTCTTTATTTCATCTCAATGCTTTCAAATGTCTCGAACTCCTCCATCTTGATATGCATCGCCACATCACAACGCTTCAAATCATTCAAAATCCATTAAATATCATTGGAAAAGTCTGAAATAACCACAAAGAGTGACAGGAATAGTCACAACATTACTGAAGTACCCTGGCATAGCCCGCGTAAATGACTTTTTAGTCCCTAGCGAGTCTATCTTAAATTTATGAAACTGCCACTGAACAAAATCATCGCAGCTAATGTTGCGACTGTACAACCATACCGCTGTTCGACGCGTCATCCGCAAAATAAGCTAGCAAGCATCCTCCTTATCACTCCGATGAAGTCTATGGTAAACATAGCCAGCAGAAAAGGAGAGATCGGTGGTTGGGAGCTTTGATTTTCTTCTTCTTCTCCGTCAAGCTTGGTCAATCGGAATTGATGAGTTTCAAAGTTTGAAATCAATCACAACTAGTTCTCAAGACTTGTTGGAACTCAATTTTAACCATTACAAAGAATAACTTGACCGAAAAATTACAAAAAAATCAGGCAAGGGTTTCGGATCGATAGAAATCGCTACTTTTCTCAAGATTTTTTTATGCACCGATTTTCTTGACTCATTTTTATGCTAAGTTAAAACTCATAAAAATAAAAATAAAATTTTAATTTTGAAAACTTAGATAAATCGAAAAAATACAAATTATAAACTTTTTGAATTTTTTTTTATAAAAAAAAAGAGTCAAAATTAGGTTATGACACAATTTATTGATGCGATGCGAAATAAGATTTTTAACAATACCAAAACCCATGCCATTTTAAAGGATAATTTAAAGAGTATTGTTAGTCATTCCTTAGTGTCTTTTCATTTTATCCCTAGATTCTGTAATTGAGGTGCTCATAATGTAGCGTATAAAGTCCGGATTGATTGTCAATTCCATGTACTTGTAAGTCGGATCCGAGATTATAAGAAGGATCATAACTAATTTTCCTAACAGAAATTCTTTTTTTTTTTTTTTTGCAACTAAATAAATAATAAAACAATAGTAATAATATAATCCTATTATTTTCGGATTTTAATATTTTTTGTTTCTATTATTATGATTTAAAATATTTTCAAATTCTTGATAGTCAAACTAAAATGACAATTGGTTTGGATGATTTGTTCTATTTTATATTGGATTTTATATGGTGTTTAATTAGGCGTATGTTTAGCATGTGCAAGCAGAATATATGGCAGAGAGATTATAAAGTTGGATGTAGGGCAAGCTTGGGATAAATTCTGAAGTGCCTTTGGAGAAATTCAATGAAGTAGTCTTGGAATGCCTTCTCTCTAATGAAAAATAAAAAAGGTCTCGAAATGGAGTTAGAATTCTGAGCTTTGCAAACAAAATTTCAGAACAAGATGAATTGGATGTTCGGAACATTCGTTTTAACAGGATCCAAAATGGCCGGATGATTCAAACACCCAGTCCCATGAAAAGTCATTCAATTCAATAAAGAAAAAGGGCAAGAGGGATAATCTGAAAGGATGAATAGAATAAAGTGGAAGGATTGGGAATTATAAGAGAGAACAAAGTGAAGGAAATGAACACCCAATCTCAACATCTTTTCCGGAATTCCTCCTAACAAACACAACCTAAGCCTTTAGGTCAAGGTAAAGACGAGCTTTTATATGTTACTGAACAGCCATACCAAAAAACCAAACTAACACAAATTCAATCATCATTACCAACAGCCAAGAGTGAAGCTACTGGCTACAATCTACATGCTTCTGATAAATATTCTGGAACAACGTGAGGCAATGCTACAAGCTCTTCCCACTCTAAAAGACTCCCTTTTTCTTCTTTTCCTTTTCGATAAAGGAAGAGAAACTAAGGAGCTACAAAGGCAAAGCATGCAAAGACAGTTTAGCAGGAAGACAATGCAAGCAACAAAAGCCGAGATAGAAGGTGGTGTAAGACACCAGAGCGGAAGCAAAACCTGACCGGAATTGAGCTCCCAAAAACCAAAAAAGCTTCCAGAAATGGAGCTTCCAAAAACTTGATCAGCAGGAATCTGACTGACAAAACCACCAGAGCAACAGCAAGCATGTACATAGAACCAAAACTTCTTCATTTCAGATCAAGACTTCATAGTTTCCTTAATTATACAAGAATTCACTTCATGATTTTATATATTTTTAACTCGGCGCAAAATTAAAACATAACATGCATATATTTCTAGGCTGCTTGATTCGGCAGCTCACTAACCTGAAAAGGTGAGACAATACTGCAAATCAGAACTTATTCCTCAGAAAGAGTGGATTGTGTTCTGGCTTCTGCTACATCTGGATGCCATGGATTTCCCATTAGTTGACAAAGATCTTTTCATTGAAATGGGCCCCTTCTGCAATGAACGCCCCACAGAAGAATTTTTCATCAGCTTGTGAAAGCTCAAATTTCCACTACTTCCCCTCTTCGCACCATTCTTTGATTTCGGTCGCTTTGGTTGGACTAATAGACTATCAGAGTTTGCTTGACATTTACCAGGAACAACATTAGCCACCACATTATAAATTGCTGAAGCAGTAGAGAAATCCAACGACACAGACCTCCTCATAGGCTGCATTTCTTCTTCTCCCACCACCAGCTTATTGCCAACTAAATCACGTCGTATCCGCGGATTCCTCGCAATAGACTGGTTCGAATTCGAGCTAGAATTTCCAGCATTTGATTCATCTACAATTGGTAGTCTACAGATAGTTTCTTCTCCATTTCTCACTTCACTGCTTCCATCTTCTCTTGCCTGGTTACTGCTTATTAGTCCACTAGGAGTATTATTTTCAGAATTTTCCATCTGGGGTTCTTCCCTTGAACTCAAATCACTTGTAGCTGGCACCGGCGAAGCAACTTGAGCAACAAGACTTTCGATTACAATCGGGGCACGACAAAGAGGGCAGTTCTTGTGTGATCTTAACCACGTATCGATGCAAGGTATGTGAAAAGCATGATCACACTTCGGTAAAAGTCTCAGACTCTCATCTTCTTGAAATTCACTCAAGCAAACAGAGCACTCTGTACCATCAATCATCCCTTCATATTTCTTATACTTGAAGACTGTTATTGAATCGATCACAGATTGTTGCAGACCTGTGAAGTTGATGTACCATATGTGGTGGTTGATTTCTGGTCCTTGATCTTCATCAAGAAAGTCCTCTTGGAAGCCAAAAAATATCGGTAGACTTCTTGACCTTCTTGAATTTCTTTGCCTGTTGTAGTAAATTCTTGAAACTATGCATACGATGCCCAAAAGAAGTGCACCACCAAACACACAAGCCATGACGGTCATGGTGCTTTTGCTTACGTGATTTTGGTTTAGGCTATCAGGAAGTGGTGGAGTGGGTGAGTTTGGTGTAAGCATAGCATATTTCCTCTCTTTTACCAAATGAATCATATAGTTTGCATACAAGTTCTTCCTTGATCTAGGTATTTTTCTGTGATCAAACTCCTTTTTTTCTCACAGAAACAGAGGAAGCAGAGGAAAAAGGGGATAGAGATGCATCTTAGGTGCGTGTGGAAAATGAGGAAGACAAAATTGGCGTAGTTTACTTACTACCATAATGTATGGTCTTGAATTAGTGATAATGGAGACTTTTGGTTCCATTTTTCCAAAAATCTGACACATTTCGCTTTCGATCAAGCACGGGCATTTCCTAGGTAGTTTTTCCATTAGTTTACATTGCCTGAGTAGAAGTCAATGGATCTTTTGGGTCATTTACGCGTAAACTTCAATTAGGGGGTTCAATTCAATGGGCTCAATGAGAGTAAAATACCTACAGGAACTTGCTTACTCTCAAATTAGGTTATACTTACGGAAATTAGGTCTTTTTCTAATTATATTTTAAATAATACCTGCAAATAAAAACATTTGCGAGTAAGGATTAAGGCTTTGGACAGAGCTTTGACTCATCGCAGAATAAGAAGTGCTTAATTAGGAAAACAAAAGGAAACATTATTATAGGAACTGAGTCCATCATCTAAAATTATGGGCCAAATTAATAGTACATTATAATTACATTCATGGAATAAAATAATTATAATGCATTCATCATAAATAATTTTTTTTTAATTAGGTATCTTTATATCATATTGGAGATGAGACTAATCTTGTTCGAAATAAGAACGAGTAAGATTTAAATCTTTTCAATAAGTACGATTTTAAAATTTGAATTTTGTATATTAGCGGAAGATTTACCTAAAGGCTAACTTACTTACCATTAAACCAACAATTTGTTGGTTGATCACAAACAAATTTAATGATGTGTAAAAAAATTATTGGTTTTGTTCATGATCAGTTTAGCACTTGCTAAGCAAAAGCATGATATGATTGTGTTTATTATCTTTCATTTTTATTTGGTTCTAGTAAAAGAGAGAGAATAAAAAGTTAATTAAATTTCTATGTAAAAGAAAAAAAAAGTACATAGTTCCAAGCTTCCTAATTGAGTATTAGGGTTAATTCAGTCATCTAAATAAGAACCAACTAAATAATAACCAAACATATTATATTAAAGTACTTGATAATTTATTTCATTGTTTGCAATTAATTTTATTACAATACAAGAAAATTGATATTAGTTAACACTTAACAGCATTAAATGATGAGAAGAGATTTGTATTTCTGCTTTCTATATTTTTTTCCCCCTGGTAACATTGTTGGTGCTAACCATCTAATTATCAATTAAAAAATTGTATTAGACTTGGTAAATTTATAGGAATAAAGACAAGAACCTAGTGAGGTGTCCTTGATTTCGTCAAAATCAGACACATGGATTTTTCTATGATTAATATAGGCTCTTAGTACCATTGACCTTTTTTTTTTTCTCTCCCCCTATAATCCTTTGTGGCATTGTCTATCTAATATTTTTTTTCTCTTATGTATCTTCATTATATATTAAAAAATAATCATATTCGATACAAAAATTATAAAATTTAATTTTTTTAATAAATATAATTTTAAAATTTAAATCTTATATATTATTTAAAAAAATCAATTAAAGGTCAATAAATTTGTCGGCAGTGTCTATCAAATATTGACAGACTTTAATTGCAGACATTATGGTCACGTCAGGACAACTAATCCACTATTTGAACTCAAGGTGTCATGTGTGACGGATGTTATCATTGTTTTTTAAAAAAAGAAAAGAAAAGAAAAGAAAAAAGTAGCAACTAGCGATTGCTATTGAAATACTTTAATGTTATATAAAATTTAAAAATTTAAAAACTTCATTTTGTAACTTTTGATTTTTAGTTTCTAAATAGCTTTCAAAATAAATTTTAGACTTTAACCAAACACATTTAAAATAAAATAAAAAAAAAAAAAAAAAAAAAGAAGAAGAAGAAGAAGAAGAAGAAGAAGAAGTTAGAATTCCCAAACCATCACAAATCATGCGAGACGTCATTTATAATATAATAATAGGAAAAAAAAGTTGTTAATAGGAACGGGTAATGTTAAACCCAAATGTGTCTCATTTGTTTTTTCTTCTTCTTTTTTCCTTATGAAAAATATGATTTGTTAATGATGCTTATGCTTGTTTGAAATGTAAAATTAATTATGGAACACATGATAACATGTATTTTAGAGTATAAAATTAATTGTGATTTACATGATACATATATTTAGAATGTAAAATTAATTTTGTCTCATATAATACATGATATTAATAATGATACATGTTATTTAAAGTGTATCTAATTAATTATGATGTATGTAATTAATCATGATGCATGATTAAATTGGAGATTTTGGTTAATGCTACAAAAGGAGTTTGGTCATCTCTCTACCTCTTAATGACAATAAATAATTTTTTTTAAAAAAAATCTGAAAGCTGTCATATTTTTTCATAATTAAGAAAGAGATTAAGAGAGAGAAACAATTTTTCATGTATTTTCTACTTTTCAATATTCTTCAAATTTCTAAATGAATTGAGGTATGTTTTCTTTTCAAATTATATATAAAAAAAAAAAATTGAAGTTTTAAGATTTATGAGAAGGTTGAATTTATGTCTTCTAGTTATGCATAATTACAATTATAACTTTCATGTAGTATCAAAATATAGTTTAGAAATTTATGTTTTTCCATTTAAGATCAAGAATTTTTCTCTTATTTATGATTTTAAAATTCAAATTATGAATTTCATTACAAGTAATTTAGTCAATGTTTTGGTTACGATTTGAAAAAGATCAAGCATATTAAAAAATTGACACATATATATATATATATAAGTTTTTCCTTATTGGTATATATATGTCATTAAATTGCTAAAATATTATTTTTGCAATTTGAAAATTTGTCTCTAATGATTTGTTAGTCACCAAAGTTGTCCTTCTTAATGTGAATAAATTTCAGTTTACAAATTATTTTTAACTATCCATAAACTCTAAAGTTTTAAATGATATTAACTTATGTAATTATATTTGTTTATATATAAATTAAAGTTTAACCATATAAGACATTTTAGAGCCAGCTCAAAAGTTAATTAATTGTTCTTATAATTGACAAATATAATTGTGATAATTAGTATGTTGAATTGGTTTTACTTTGCATATCCAAATATAACAAAATGGATATATTTAGTATATATATTGCTACAAATGATTATTTATATTTGTATATCTTAGTATCATCCAAAGAAGAACTTTAATATACTTTATGTTTATCAATGTTATATATTTGAACATGAATTATTACTCAAAGTATTAATATATGAGTATCTTATTTTACTTCAAATATTTGTGATTGTTTTACTTCAACCACGTGCTTTATCTCGTTTCAATATTTAATAGATTGAATTTCTCTATTTGGTGGAAATGAGTCCAATTTCACTTAGTGTTTTGGATCTTGATTGAAAACTTTAAGTTAAGATGCTCATTGTTATTACGAATGAGAGTAGTGCTACCGTAAAGGCATCCCATAATGTTTGAAAAAGATTAGACATGTTAAGCTTAATATTTACGTGAATGACAATTACAAACAACTTAACATACTACTTTTTTTTCTTTTTTGCTAAAACTAACAATGCTAATAAATTTAAGAGATTTTTGAAAAAAAGACTCTCAAAATACTAACAAGTCACTTGCTTATACATTAATGAGCACTTTAACCACCATGAAAGATGATGGTTCATGTACTACGCACAAGCATGTTCTTAAGATGACGACCTTAGCAATAAAATTAAAGACCTTGGAAATGAATATTGATGAGTACTTCTCGGTATAATTCATATTTAACTCCTTACCTCTTAAACAATATAGGGCATTTCAAATGGATTACAATACTTATCACATGGTTAGCTCTTAGCGATCAAAAAAATAAAACATGTTTGAAAGTAGAGTCGCCACTCGGCTTTTCTTAAAAAAAACTAATAAAAAATCTAACAAAGTGGTTTTAAAAGTTCTAGTTAAGTGGGTTGATATACAACTAGAAAGGAATACAATCACCCTAATGTGTCCTTGTAATGAGGTTATCATTCAATTCTAACCTATGAGAATTTCTTCACACAAAGTCTAATTATGCATTCACTTTTCTATCCTAATTTGCAAGTTGATTATTGAGACTTTCTAATTAGTTCTAAGTGAGGTGATTTAGATAAAGAAATAAGATCCAATCTCTCATTTAGTTGGTCATTGGGCCATTGTAACCCAATTAAAAGGATCGAAAATAGGGCTTAAAGCCCATTGGCAAATTAGACAACCAATTCCCAACAAAATATGTAAAGATAAAAATAAAATAAATTTGGACCATAGGTCCCAAGTTCTCATGCCAAACCATACAATAATACAAAAAAAAAAAAAAAAAAAAACGTGAATAATAATAATAAAATTTCCAAGTAATATAAACATGGATTTCGAGCTCATATTAACCTCTCAAACCACTTTAGAATAATAAACTAGGCACAAAGCTATATGTCTAATTTAAAATGAAATTTTTGATAAGATAAAATTAATAGCACCAAGAAAATAAATTGAGATTAATATCAAAACAAATAACGATAATGATGAGAAAAAAATTAAATAATAATAAGAAAAAAGTTCATCGTTGTAACAAAGTCGGTCTTAGGTCCTAAACATAGTTCATCTAGACTAGCTTAGACTAGCATCAAGTACCATAAACACGCAAATGCAAGACATAATAAAATTAAATGTGTAAACATCATAAATCACGTAAAAAAAAATCCAAGAAAAATAAAATAGTCAATTAACCTCCGCAAGATCCTTGCCCATCAATTCATATTAGCTTATTTTAATTTTCTAAAAATGTTTTGCTAGATCGTTGCTAGTTTTATCATCGAC